CCCCAAGAGCCTGTTTGTTGCTTTATCCCACTAAAGTGCAAAAAAGGCTGGGTGAAATGGTTCATGTCTGTAATCCCAGAACTTTGGGAGGCTGAGGTGGGCAGATCACTTGAGGCCAGGAGTTTGAGATCAGCCTGGCCAACATGGTAAAACCCTGTCTCTACTAAAAATAAAAAATAGCTGGGCATGTTTGTGCATGTCTGTAATCCCAGCTACTCAGGAGGCTGAGGCACGAGAATTACTCGAACCCAGGAGGCAGAGGTTGTAGTGAGCCGAGATCGCACCATTGCACTCCAGTCTGGGCAACATAGCGAGACTCTGTCTCTGAAAATAAATAAATAAAGTGCAAGACAAAGTACCATTTACTTTTCTCTCTGCTTTTCTCAAGCAGAAGGAATCTCTCACCATGGCCACCACAGCTGAGCATGTGCGGGGTCACACCTAAACCCAGAACATCTCAGCCTCAATTAAGGCTTGCAGCCCTGCAGTATGGACTTGGGGGATATTTCCTAGCAGTGCGATTGTTCGGTCAGTGCATGTGTGTGTTAAATTTTGAGATCTGGCCAAATTGCTCTCTATAAATCCTATCTCGGAGTATCTGTTTCTCTGCCCTCTTTTCAACCCAAAATGACATCCCATTCTTTACTATGTGCCAATATTTTGCTATTATAGAATAAAAACTATCTCAGTGAAGAATTGAATTTCTCTTTTGGGAAACCGAGTATCTTCTCATATGTTTAAGATCCATTTGAGGCCGCGCTCGGTGGCTTATGCCCATTATCCCAACACTTTGGCAGGCTGAGGTGGGTGGATCACTTGAGGTCAGAGTTCGACATCAGCCTGGCCAACATGGTGAAACCCTGTCTCTACTAAAAATACAAAAATTAGCCAAGCATGGTGGTGGGCAACTGTAATCCCAGCTACTCGAGAGACTGAGGCAGGAGAAACTCTTGAACCCAGAAGACAGAAGTTGCAGTGAGCCGAGATTACATCATTGCACCACTCCAGCCTGGGAAACAGCAGCGAAACTCCATCTCAAAAAAAAAAAAAAAAAAAAAAAAGCCATTTGAATTTCCCTTTGTATGAACTGTCTATTCATGTCCTTTACTTGTTTTCTCTTTGTTTTTTTTTTCTTTTTGATGTTAGACTTTTTATGTTTTTATTTTCCTTGTTTGCTGCCGTGTGTACCAACCAGTGCAGCTTCTTAGTTGTAAGCCAGCATTTGGAGCCAGCACAGAGAGGGCGAGGGGAGGGCTGTACTCATCTCCTCTTCCAGATGGCAGTGATCAAAGGACGTGGTGATCGTGGGAACACTTTGGAGAGCACGTAGCCATATTTAAATATATTGACAACACAACCATTTTGTAGACTCAGGGTGACTTTGCGCCACATGTCACCGGTAGCTATTAAAATCATGTCTGTACACGTACATGGATGGCTTTGATGGCACACCCTTGTTAGCTTTGTAACTTTTATCTAAAGGGCCATATGGTGAAGATACATTTTTTGCTGGTACCTTTCTTATTTCTTCTCTTTTCTTTGTCAGTATTTCTGTTCTAGAAAATGAGGTGAGCCAGGCACAGTATGGTACATGCCTGTAATTGCAGCTACTCTGGAGACTGAGGCAGGAGGCTCACTTGAGCCCAGGAATTTGAGGCCAGCCTAGGCACTGGGCAACATAGTGAGATACCATCTCTTAAAAATTTTTCCTTTAAAAAGATATGTCTTAAAGTATATACCTGCAATTTAGGAGAAAAATAAGAATATAAACTTCTCTTAAAAAAAAAAAAAAAGAAAGAAAAGAAAAAGAAAATGGGGCAAGATGCCTACTTTTTCTGTAAATTAGCTTTGAAATCCAGTGTCCAGTAAAGTTCTCTGTTCCAAGCAGACACCTAAAATAAAACGTTTGCTCAAAAAGGTCAGTTCCTCCATGTGCTGCTTTGCCTCCCTTCCTAAAGGCATGTGCATCAGTGTAGCACTTCTCCACCCATGTTAATAGGTGTTCTGTGATTTTTTTAAAAAGTGCCTATAATTATATTAATTTTGGAAAAGTTATTTTAAATATTAAAGCATTTTGAAACATATTTAACTTCTAAAATAAAATCAGTTTCTTTACTACAGGACTTCTCACAGCCTTTAATGTACCAGAAAATCCATTGATCTCCCAAGAGAAGGTTGCAGGATGCTGTCTTCTGCAAGTGTGTTTGTCCACAGAACTCTGTTTTCATATTTTCATGGTATCTCATTGAAACACAGCTCAAGGTTGGGTGTGGTGTCTCACACCTGTAATCCCAGCCCTTTGGGAAGCCAGGGCAGGTGGATCATGAGGTCAGGAGTTCAAGACCAGACTGGCCAAAATGGTGAAACACCATCTCTACTAAAAATAAAAAAATTAGCAGCATGTGGTAGCACATGGCTGTATCCCAGCTAGTCGGGAGGCTGAGGCAGGAGAATCACTTGGAACTTGGGAAGCGGAGGTTGCAGTGAGCTGTGATTGCGCCATTGCACTCCACCCTGGGTGATAGAGCAAGACTCTGTCTCAAAAAAAAAAAAAAGAAGAAGAAGAAGAAGAAGAAATGCAGCTCAAGCAATTAGCTCAAAACTCATAGATGAATCAAGAGTACACATCAATTTGTTTGTCCCCTGATTTGTCTGAATTAGGCCAAACAAGGATCTTTAACTGGAAATAGGGTTATTGATAACTTGACTGCAGTCAGATTTCTAAAATTGAGTAAAAATGCATTTGTGGTTCAACTGCAGATAAAGACATACTGGTTACTTTCTCCAGGCTCCCCACCATATTGGCATAAGTGTAAAATTAAGAGATTCTTAAAATACATCGTTTTAAATACATCATTTCTGGTAACCCCTCACTGCTCCTGCTTGAGGTCAGATACCACCCTCTCTGTCTGAGTTATCCAAATCAAAATGGGCAGGGGATGAGGGTGTAGTGCTGGGACCAGACAGAGCCACCACCAGCTGAGGCTTAATTATGAAGCAAATTTACAGAGCCACTGGGGGATGGATCAGAGGTGGGAAGGTTCTTTATATCCAGCCCCTTAACAGCACAGTTTATTCTTTCCTCTTGAGTATTTCTAATATTGACTTTTTTAAAAGCCCTTATTGGCCTTTTCTGTCTTCTTGAGGAATCTTGTCTGTTTTTTTTTTCCCCTCAGGCTTCCTGAAATTTGGAACAGGGGTTCTCAACAGTGTTTTAGAACACTGGTGGTGGCTGGAATGTGTCACAAGTCATCTGTGAGCTAAAGTAAACCATTAAAAGCACATGCATTTGCAAATTACCACCAAATAGAATGGATTCAAGAGTACCTTATGAAAGGTCTTATTTACCTACTTTGAGATCTCCTTTTTGAGTGGAATGAGCAGTTCTGACTGCATACATGGCTACAGTGCTTATGAGTACTTTATAGTTCCATTTTTATTTTCCCTTTTGATAAGATTGCACTTGAGCTACAAAGATACCAGGAACGTTTTCGTTTGTAATAAGACAACTGCTATGACGACCCGATGAAAAGCAACCAAAATGCTGTGAGAAAAATGTTCAATAGTGGTATTGTGGCTTTAAAAAAGTAGTCAGGTTACTTGCATTCCTCAATAGTCTACACTTGTTACTCTCTCTCTCTTTTTTTTTTCTTTTTTTTGAGACAGAGCCTTGCTCTGTAGCCCAGGCTGGAGTGCAGTGGTGCAATCTCGGCTCACTGCAATGTTTGCCTCCCGGGTTCAAGCCATTCTCCTGCCTCAGTAGCCAGGTTTACAGGTGTGCACCACCACACCCTGCAATTTTTTTTTAATTTTTGACAGAGATGGAGTTTCACCATGTTGGCCAGGCTGGTTTTGAACTCCAGAGCTTAAGTGATCCACCCATCTCGGCCTCCCGAAGTGCTAGGATTACAGGCGTGAGCCACCGTGCCCAGGCTACACTTGTTACTCACAATATTGTCTATATTTCCTTTGGAGTAGGAGTCTAGAAAATACGTCATTTTGCTGGACACGGTGGTTCATGCCTATAACCCCAGCACTTTGGGAGGCCAAGGCGGGCAGATCACGAGGTCAGAAGTTTGAGACTAGCTTGGCTAATATGGTGAAACCCTATCTCTACTAAAAATACAAAATTAGCCAGGCGTGGTAGTGCATGCCTGTAATCCCAGCTACTTGGGAGGCTGAGGCAGGGGAATTGCTTGAACACGGGAGGCGGAGGTTGCAGTGAGTTGAGATCATGCCATTGCACTCCAACCTGGGCAACAAGAGCGAAATTCAGTCTCAAAAAACAAACAAAGAAAACCCACGTCATTTTAAAAATGAAATATAATATTTCAAAAGTGTATATTTTTATTATAGTCAAGACTGACTTTTTGTAATTTTTCACTTTCAAGTGTCTTTTAATGTATTCCCATCTCCAAAAATAGTTGTGCCACACTCGTTGTTAATTTCTCCTCTCTGCCAGTTGGTGGGGAGTCATCAAAGCCTAGTTCACTCCATTGTGTGTGCCACTCAAGGGAACTTCATCCAGCATGCATGTTCATGGAGAACTTACCTCGAGAGGTGCTTCCTCATTTTCTTCCTGATCTATAGCATCCTTGCTGTAGCTTTCATAGCAGCAGCGTGGGAATGCCTTCCTCTAGGCATCAAGGAGTCGGCAGGACTGATTCCTTCTGAGAGCTACAAGGGAAAGATCTGTTCTAGGCCTCTCTTCTTGGCTTGCAGATGGCCATTTTCTGCCTGTGACTTCACACTGTCATCTGTCTTTCTCTGTGTCCAAATCTCCCTTTTTGTAAAGATACCAGCCATGTTGAATTAGAGTCCTCTCTAATGACTTCATTTTAATTTGATTACATCTGCAATGAGCAGTTTCCAAATAAGGTCACATTCTGAGGGATGGTGGTTTAGAACTTCAACATATGAAACTGGGGAAGACACGATTCAACTCATAACAACATGCTAATTTGCTGCTTATGAACTTTTCTCCCTTTTTTTTTTTAAAGAATGTACATGGCAAGTCAAAGCAAATGATCGAAAGTACCACGAACAACCTCATTTTATGAACACAAAGTTCTTTTGTATTAAGCAGAGTAAATATGCGGTGAGTTGATTTTAACTTTCTGAATTGTGTTTATTGAAATGCAGTTTTTCCCAGTAGCTGGCAGGCTTACTACCTTCATGCTATACCTGCCTTCCACGTAACCACCTGCCTGGGGCTATTGATAATCATATTTCTACAGAGTGTTGTCTTTTATTGATGTTCACCTTTGGGATGGGTAGGGGGTGACCTGAAACAAAACAGAATTATGTAGACTGAAATTTTCTCTCTCTCTTTTTTAAATGTTAAGCTCTCTTAAGAATGTTTTATGAAAGAATATACAATGATGGCACAGAAGCCTCATGTTTGAAAGCAATGAGTTTGAAAGGAATCTGTAAATAACTTATCTTCCCCTTCTCTGCCTGGGATGGATTTAGAGATTTTAAAGATATTTTTGACTCAAAAATGCTTGTTACCTTTGGAATATGATAAAGAATACTTAAAGATTAAACACAAAATACAAAAATTAGACTGGCATGGTGGCATGTGCCCATAGTCTCAGCTACTTGGGAAGCTGAAGCAGGAGAATCGCTTGAGCCCGGGAGGCAGAGGTTGCGGTAAGCTGAGATTGTGCCACTGCATTCCAGCCTGGGTGACAGGAGTGAGACCTTGTCTCAAAATAATGATAATAATAATAAAATAGTAATAAATATAAAGTGTGGGCTTAAACGTTGTAAGATGTGTGTTTTAATTCCGAGGGCTTCCATAGCAGAGTAATACAACTGGATGCTTTAAAACAACAGAAGTTTACTGTCTCCCAATACAGGGACCAGAAATCTGAAATCCTGGTGTTGGCAGGGCTGGCCCGTTCTGGAGGCTGTGCAGGAGAATCTGTTCCCTGCCTCTCCCTGGCTTCTGGTGGCCACTGGCAATCCTTGGGGTTCCTTGGCTTATAGATGAAGTCACTCCAGTCTCTGCTTCATCTCCATAGGGCACTCTTCCTATCTGTGTCAGTGTCCGGCTTTCTTCTTACAGGGACACTAGTTCGTATGAGCACCTCATTAAATTAAAGCCTGTCCTAATCATGTATGACTTCATCTTGATTGTATCTATTTCCAAATAAGATCCCATTCATAGGTATTAGGGTTAGGACCTGAACATATCTTCTGGGGGGACACGATTCAACCCCCTACAGTACCTTTTGCTCTTTCTTACACAGTAGGCTCTGTCCTCACCTAAATAAACATGTCACTTTTCCTGGCTTTGGCCATGTTGTTGTCTACCTTTCCCCTGTTTTCTAACACTCTCTAATGGGTCAAAGAATCTGACAGCAGGATTTATTTGGTCACAGTCCGACGTCCGTTTCTTGTTACTGTCTCCATCATCAGACTCCAAGTTTGAGGCTTGCCTAGAATTAAAAGCTTAAAAGAAATTTCAGTATCTTTCTTTATTTTTTTTTCTTGAGATGGAGTCTTGCTTTGTCACCTAGGCTGGAGTGCAATGGCATGATCTTGGCTCACTGCAACCTCCACCTCCTGGGTTCAAGTGATTCTCCTGCCTCAGCCTCCTGAGTAGCTGGGATTACAGGCATGCACATGCCACCATGCCCAGCTAATTTTTTGTATTTTTAGTAGAGACGAGGTTTCACCATGTTGGCCAGGCTGGTCTCAAACTCCTGGGCTCAAGTGATCCACCCACCTTGGTCTCCCAAAGTGCTGGGATTATAGTCATGAGCCACCACACCTGGCCAAAATCCTCAGTATCTTTCTGACAGATTATGCTCCTTTGTCACTGTAGGCTGTGGGACTTAGTGATTTTTGCAGATGTATGTTATATATTGTGATAAATATGGCATCATTTGGAATGACTCTTATTTTTTTCCAACAGAATAATGCAATTAAAACATATAAGTACAACGCTTTTACCTTTCTACCAATGAATCTGTTTGAGCAATTTAAGAGAGCAGCCAATTTTTATTTCCTGGTTCTTCTTATCTTACAGGTAATGCCCTTTGCTATCTTAAATCTGTTTTAAATTATAATGACTCAATAACATCTAAGCTGCAGACATATATAATGTGAATAATCTTGAAAATGTTTTATATTAGCATCAGGGTTCTGTACATAAAGGAACAGTGCCTCATACACAGAACCAGCTCAATCAGTGTTACATGAACAGGCAAAGAGAAGAAATGGAAACATTATTCTCATTATGTATTTTTTTTAATTTCATGTTATATTGATATGGGTATTAAAACTGGTTTCCTTGAAGCAAATACAACTAAAATCCGGCCAGGCACGATGGCTCACACCTGTAATCTCAGCACTTTGAGAGGCCAAGGCAGGTGGGTCACCTCAGGCAAGGAGTTTGAAACCAGCCTGGCCAACATGGCAAAACCCTATCTCTACAAAAATAGAAAAATTAGCCAGGCATGATAGTGGGTGCCTGTAATCCCAGCTACTCAGGAGGCTGAGACAGGAGAATCACTTCACCCTGGGATGTGGAGGTTGCAGCAAGCCAAGATCAAGCCATTGCACTCCAGCCTGAGTGACAAAGTGAGACTTTGTCAAAAAAA